CTGAGCCTTCAAGAAAGGGTAGAATTTGGAGAGAAGTGAAAAAGGAGGAAAATGATTGGCATAAGCAAAAAAAAAAAAAAAAATGACTGCAGGAAGAAATGTAATGTGAGACATCTACTCTTTCAGTAAATGTTTATTGAAAGCCTACTCTGTCCCAGCCCTGGGGCTAGGAGCTCGGGTGCAAGACGGAGCTTACCTGTGACTCACCAACGGACAGCAACCCAACGGACAGCAACCCGGGGAGACCAGAACTGTACCCCGCAGTGCAGAGACGGGGCAATGGAGGCTTTACAATGAGGATGTAATTTGTCCAAGGACACAGAGCTAATAAATAGCATCAATCTAGTTTTGGGTGTGTTTTATTACAGTCAGGCTTTAGACGACATTGATGAGTTACTGTTTCTTAACATCATGCCTAAAGCTCAGAGGATACAGGGAAAACCCACACTGCCCCAGTCCTGCTATTCAAATAACAAAGTATGAACATTGCTTACTTTCATGAATTTTTCTCTGCTCTACAGGATTAAGTAAGAGTCATGAGTTCTCACTTATAAACATCCCAGGTCTTTTGGAACAATTACTAGCAGGACAAGATCAGGCTCCAGAAACAGCCTGATTACACCAACTGGCAACTGATTATGTCCATCACTTCAGAAGGTGCTCAGAGAGCAAGGGGAACAGATCCAGTGGCCATCTGAGAAAGGTCAGTCGAGTTCCCACCAAAAAATGTTTCACAAAGATAAAGCCAGACTCCGGATTCATGTGGAAAATGTTAACCATGCTCTGTGCTGGAAAACTCAGAGACTCCCCCGCTGCCGACCGCCTGCAGATCATTCAGTAAGTGACAAATCTTCCACGAAGCTGAGCTTAATGATTCAGAGGTTGTCTGCAGTCAGCCCTTGAGTTGGCCAGGTTTCCCATCACTGGTCAAGTTAAGTGCAGGTTCCTCTCCTGTGAATAAACTCTTCTGAAAGTGAGGAAGCTTTCAGCCCACAAGGTATATTTCTAAACACAAACGTAGACACATGCAAACAGGGTTGACAAAGAACAAAAAACCTGCTCAAATTTTTCTTCTGAAATTAACCATGCGCCCGTAGGTAAAGGAGGAAAAAAGCATTTTTTGTTTTTTGGTTTATTTCAGGGCCATTGAAAAGTCACTTAGGTCTATAGTAACTCTTCCTTTGCCACATACTTTAAACTTCAAACCTGTTTTTATTTTTGTACTCCATTTGGAGAGACAGAGCTGATATTATCATTTGTGATGATCATGGCGCCTCACGTGAAAGGCTCATTACCATATCTGGAATGTCTAAGGCAGGCAGGCAGGCCAGCCTGGATCTCACCTCCTAAAATGCAACCCATTCTCTACCCGCTCAAAAAGAGGCATTACTTATGCTAGCTCTGGGGAAATAAAGAACAAATACAACTCCTCCTAAAATACTGTTTAACACGTATTTTCATGAAATAAAGAGGAATGACTTCATTGCAAAACTTGTCTACAGCTGAACTTGCAATCTGTAGTCCAGTTCGATCTGGGCGCTTTTCAATCAGGCGGCTGAATGAGGGATGTTTTCAGCCCAAGTGGACCCAAATGAGCTTTAATGATCCTGAGGTCATTTCTGTCCTTCTTTCTTCTCCTCGTACAACATTAGAGTTTCCCAATGTTTTAACATTTCCTTGGAGATGGCTAAGGAACAGGGTTCAACCACAGCTGCAGTCAACACAGTCTTGCATCCCGCACTGAGGGAATCTGTTCCCAGCTGGCCTTTCACATCGCGGTCCACTCCAACTTAGGAGAACTGACAAGCAATGCAAAACTTGGGCTAGAGAAAAATGTTAAAAATATGACTTAAACATTTACTTTTAGGGCAGCAAAAGCGGGATGGAAACTTCGACCATATTCCAAAAAATAGAGATGTTAATGGTCTTGTACAGTAAATAAAACTGCAAATAGGCTAGTATTCCCAGGACATTTTGGAGAAATGTTTAAGACCATCCCAAACTACAACAAACTCTTCCCCTGCTAACATGAGCTCCGTCTCCACTGGCCCATGAAAATCAAGGCCCCAAGTCTGACTACCTCATAAGCATCCCTTCCAAGTTCCAGCTTCTGGTTTTTTGGGGGGATATTTGACTTCTCCAGACATTGAAAACGAGAGGCAAAGAGACCTAAATAGTACTTTTTAATATATGCTTCAAGATATAACACAATGCTGCGGTGAGCAACTCGATAAATAACATGAATTAAATGTTGGGAAAAAAGTGTCATCTCAAGGTTCAGTGGCCTTATTTTTGTCTCATGGATAAATCTCTGAAGTTCTCTTGGCCTCTTGGTTAATGTGCTCACTTTCCAGTATACAGAGTAAGCTCTTCAGATCCCAGCAAGTTTTCTAAAACTGCTTCCACCAAATAGTTTTGAAAAAATATTATATAATCTTCTTCTTTATTAAGAGCCCAACTTCACTGTAGCTATGGTGCTCACTCAGCCGAGGCTACAGTCTCCTCTGCTCAAAGGCCTAATGTTCTAGGGCTGATTTCCCACCTGCTAGAAGATCAACAAGACCGGCCTCATACCCTGTGCTGACATGCACTCCCCTGACCAGGTGAATCGTGGCTTATCGCATAGAGAGCTAAACCTGAGGCTGGCCATTCCCATCTCCCAAGCCAGCTCCCCAGGGCTGGTCTCACTGCGGTGGCTCCTGGTGGTGTCCCCAGACCAGCAGCATCAGCATCACCTGGGAACTTGTTAGAAAGGCACGTTCTCAGGCCCCACCCCAGACCCACTGATTGAGAAACTCTGGGGGTGGGGCCCAGATCCAAAAGTGACCAATGCCCTCAAGTTTGAGAAGACGTGTGGCACTGCAGTGACTATCAAACCACCAGTAAACCCTCAGAGCCTGCAGGTGGCACTAAAGGCTGGCTAGAAGAGTTACAGGCGCCGGAAGCTCAAGTTGTGTTACAGACCCTGCCTGCCTGACCACACAGTTCTTTCTATCAGTTCTTTAACAGCTAGCTCAGCCTCCTCCAACAAGGTCAAAGGTTAGAGTACATCTCAGCTTTGAACAGGAACCTGACTGAAATTTCTTCTCACAGCCCAGCAGCAGACATAATAAACCTACAATTTTCAGGGATGCAATCAATATTTAATTATTTTGAAGGTTTCTGTGGCTAATGCAACAAGGATACCAATACATTTTAAGAAGGAGGATGTCAATATTGATTAAACAGAACAAAAGAAGAAATTCAAATTATCCTCAGCCATTGTACATATCTGAATAAAAATAATGCACTCAATTCTGAAAGAATGATTAGAGTTCCTACCCTTAAAATCTCATTGAATGATGTGACAAATGTGAGAAAAGGATTTTTCTAATGTAAAGCGTGTATACCAGTAGGCCTTTGCTAGATTCTGTCAAAACCGTGAATTGTGCATTACCCATTTTACTAGACAAACATCTCTAGTGAGGATGTGGAGCAACAGGAACTCTCACACACTGCTGGTGGGAGTATAAATTGGTGCAACCACTTTGGAAAACCATTTAGCAGCATCTACTAAGGCCGGACGCAGAAGTCTCTAGGACTAGCAATTCCACTCCTGGGTACACACCCCAGAGAAATGAGTGCCTCTGTCCACCAGAAGCCTCCTGAAAGAATGTTCTTAGAACTGTAATTCATAATAGCTACAAACCGGAAACAATCTAAACATGCATCCACAGCAATGAAAACCCAAGAGAAACAACAAACCAGACTACTGCTACACACAATAGGGCTGACTGAGAGACATACCGCTAGTGAAAGAAGACAGACACAAAGGAGTACACCCTGATCCAAACGGCAAAAGGAACCTCTGGGGACAGAGGTCAGCATAGAGGTCACCGGGGCTCTCTAGCAGCAGGTATAAGGAGCTTGCTGAAAAAGTTCCAGATCTTGACCTGGATGGTGACAGGGCTGTATACATATGGAAAGTTCACTGAGTTGCACACTTAAATTTGTACACTTTATGTATGTTATACGTCTTTATAAAGAAAGTTAAACATACGCAAAAATTCTTGACAGACTGTCATGTAACAAATTTCAATATCCACCACAAAAATCTAGATTACTGGGCAACTGTGTTAACGTCAGAATATAATTTACTGCAAAACTACTGCACTTGCTGAGCTAAATCTGAAAATTAAATACAGGGAGCAAATTTTATTTCCAATATTATGCTATCATACCAATGTATCATCCTATAAAAAGGCCAAACCTGTGTGGCTTTCACTCCCTAGTCCCAAACTCCGTTTATTCTGCCACAGGGCCCATCCTGTGTGGCAAGTGACTGTCCGTCATGCCAAGCCCCTGCAGGCCCTGATGGCTGGTCAACAGGCAGGGGGGCGGTGGAGGCCTGGCTCCAGCACTCCAGGCATTACCTACCTGCCTGAATCTCTTTGAACCACCCTTGTCCTAACCCCTACCACCATCCGCCTTCCCTCCTGCCCAGGACCCAAGGCCTGTCCCAGGGTAGGGGCCTGTTAAGACACTGCACAGTCTCCGAGACCATTCTGGGCCTACTGGGTCCTAGGTTCCGATCCCATAGGAACCCAGACGCTGGGCCAGCTGCCATGTGGGAGACACCCAGTAGCACCCCAACGGCAGGCATCTCTGGGCCCCAGAGCGCGCCCCGAGGCCCGTGAAGCCGCTCTCCGCAGGCCCAGGCCGCTGCCCCAGCCCACCCGACCCACAAAGATTTCGCGCTATAGCGGGGAAATACGCTCGGCCCATTGCAGCGCTTCGCTTGGGTCTGAACACCGCCGCTGACGGTGACGTGTGACCAAGATGAGGAGCACCGTGGTCCAGGATAGAAGCCACTTCCACACCCGGGCCGAGGGCGTGCCAACCCCGTGCCGCCCGCGCCCCGGCTCCGCGCCGCAGCGGCCCTGCCGGGGGCGCGCTCGCAGGCCGCCCCGCGCGAGGCAGGAGGCCGGGTCGGTGGCGGCCGCCCGGGGGGGCGTGTTTACCTGGGAGCAGGAACACGTGCTGCCGGGCGCGAGCCCCGTCCGCGCCGTCCCCGCGGCCCGCCATGCCTCCGGGCGCGAGCACGGCGCCGCGGGCCGCAGCCCTGGGAGCGGGCGGCCGGGAGAGAGGTCTGTTCCGGGTGGCGCGGCGCACGGAGGGACTGGCAGCCCCGGGGGCGGCCCGCGGCACGAATTTCTTTTCGTTGCGTTTCCGGAGCCAGCCAGAGGATTGTGTTTTCAAATTTAGCGCCAGGCCGGGCAACCCGCACCCTGGCGCAGGGCCCGCCGGCAGGGGAGGGTCGCGGCCTCTCCCTTCCGCTTCTCGGCCAGTGGTAGGTGCTCGCCGAGGGCGCCGAGTGACGCGGCGCGCGGGGCGGCGACCCTGGGACGCGGCGGCGGGGGGGTCGCCTCGGCTCGGGGCCCCGGGTCACCGCCCCCAGCGGCCCTCCGGGGAGGTGGTGGCGCGGCCGAGGGGCTTCCAGGTGGGAGAGCAGGGTGAGGCCGGGTCCCCGGGGAGTGGGGGCAGGACAGATGACGGCCTCCACCCTTGGGGGACTGGCACACATCTAGCAGGTTGGAAAAGCCTGCAGCAAGTCCATGCTAAGGACAACTGGCATATCCGAATCGTAACGTCACTGGTAGTTGTCAGTTTATCTTGATTGTCCCTTGCACTGTGCGTTGGAATTAATGTCAGAATATTGTGTGCTTTGTGATTCGTAACGCATTAAGCAGTCCTCAAATTGGGCTTAGTCCTCATCACTAAAATGGGGTGCACAATTTGAGGCTCAAAATGTGGATTTGTTATTTGGGGAGACTTTGTAATGAGTTAAAGAATAAGACATTTTAAAAGCCATGTTTAAAAATTTAGGGTCATGAAATTTGGGGATTTAAACTTCTAAAAATAAAATTTTAATTGAAAAAGTTATGCTTGATACGTGGTTTTAAAAAAGAAGATAAGTATTTCTCTCATACTTTAATAAAAAGTCTCTCTCCTACCCCAGATCCCCAATTATGGAAGAAAAATATTACTTTTAATGCACCTCGCTTTTCTTCTTTAGTCTTGAAGATAGTTAAATTCAGCAGCACTAGATCTATCTCAGCCTTCTGAAAAAATTTTTAATTTCAGTCCTCTTTCTCATGAGGTGAGAGAAATGCAGCTGAAGTTGACTGCAGGATACACCTGGTGGAGAGGAAGCCTTTCTGGCTGAGGAGGGGCACCCAGATGCCAGCTCTGGGGCAGGCTGTAGGTTGATATTGCTCTGATCTCTTCCCTCCCCCACGATTATACTATGGGAAAAGCTCTGGTGTGGAGGCCAAATCCCCAGTCACTCCATAATCCTTCCTAACAGTCACAAGAGCAACGTTACCCACAGTTCCCTTGCTCCAACATGCAGAGCTGTTTTCATTTTTCTCTAATCCCATCCAGCTATTGGCTGTATGAGGCTGTATTTTTATGTTGTTATCTTCACAATGTAAAGACCATTTTGTCTGCTTTTCTCCCTTAACGTTGTAATAACATGGTTTCCTGTTTTCCGTGGCATCTAGAGCTATGTTGTTAATGGAGACGTTATTTCACACTGCTAATGCACCAAGGTTACTTAACCATTCCCTAGTGTGCAGTATTTAGGTTATTTCAAACTGTTATTATAAATAATGCTACAGTGTATACTATATGTGGACTATGCAGCAGTGTGAAGCAATAAACTAGATGAACACTTAGTGAACTAGATGAACACATAGCAACATGGATGCTTTATATCAAGGGAAAAAAGTTAGATGCAGGAAGGGATTTATAACAATACCATGTAGGTAAATTAAAAACACATAAAACGACATATTTTTGCAAGGATACATGCACATTTGAGGCCATGTATCAACCACATAAGAAATGGGTGCCTTTAAAATGGAGCAAAAGGGGTAAAGGAGGGCTAAGGAATGGGGGGACAAGAAAAATCAAATTTTGTGTGTGTGTGTAATTAACTCTCTGACCTTTAGGTCCAAGGACAAAAACCGTTTTTTAAAATGTGCTGCCACAAACATCTCTCAGCAATTTCCTTTATCCACTTAAATTATTTAAGTACCTTCTTGGAAGGGGGACCAGTGGCGATATGGGGAGTGACTCCAGATTCCTATTGTCCTCAGGGTAAAGTCCAAGGTACTAAGCTTTGAACACGTGGCGCTTGAGATCTGGTCCTCACTTGCCCCTCCAGCCACAGTTCCCACCACCTGCCTCCCTCCCTCCCTCCCCTGTCCACAGTCTGGCCACGAGGAAAGGCGCTCTGTCACGTCCAGCACTTGATACTGTGTTCTTAATGCTGGGGCCGCCCTGCTCTCCTCTAGCCTCATTCCTCCACCTTTTCTCTCACCCTCTACCACTGCCTGGACAACTTGTACTCATCCATGGTCTTATGATGGCTTCTCCATGGCACTCCTTTTCCTGCCTCCCAACACCCTCCCTAAGAATGAGTGAGATGCCTCCAATCTTCACTCTTATCTCACTAGGCCCTGGAGACTGATTCTCAGTCAGTTCCTTGAGGAAGGATGGCATCCAGTAATTCACCACTTTATCCTCAAAAAATAGCAGTGGCTCTCATTGAGTATTAGCTGTGACAGACACTGTGCTAAACATGTCGCTCCAATTATTCTTTCAGTCCTCCAGCAGCCTTAAGGGGAAGGGTTAGCGTGATCCCCACACTTTACAGAGGAAGAGTGTGAAGTTTAGAGAGATCAGCTAATTGCCCAACATGTACAACCAGCAAGTGGCAGAGCAGGAATTCCAGCCCAGAGACTGGGCTCTTGACCTTCCCTCCCTCCTTCGCTAGTGTCCCAATGCCTAGGACAAAGGTGTGTGGGCACAGCAGGCGCTCAGCAAATATTTCTTGAATAAACATGTCTGTGGACAGATAGGCAGTTATGAGAACAGTCATTGTGGCTTGTGATATTTCTAAGTTTTATAAACAAGAACAAATTGGTTACATCCAGTGTATAATAAAATATTCCAAAATTAATTTTTATACTAGTCACACTAATATGCAAAAAGACGAGCAGGTCATTCTCCAAAGAATAAGAAGGGAACAGCAACCTTAATACCTTTGAGTAGAGAATCATAGAAACTCTTATAAATGCCAGAAGCAAAAGATGTTCATTTTCTAATAGAAGAAAAAGGACCTGGAGGAAAAAGAACAGTGCAGAGTTCAATGACCTTTAGCCATGCTTAGCAGTAACCAGAGCAGAGAGAGCCTAAACCAAGAGTAGTGAAAACAATTTTTTTCTCTTATAGATTATTAAAAACTTTTGAACATGCTTCTTTCAAAATGAAAATGAAAATCCATGTTTATCATAAGAAAAGATTGTGGTCTTGTTTTTGTCTTTTTGGCAAATGCTCATCTAGTGACAGCAGAGAATGCAACATGATAATCAAGCATAAGATGAGGAGAAAAGGATCAGCGCTTGCAAGAGCCAAATGTTTAGAAAGGGGACCAAGGAGTAGCACTGAACTGTCCTTTCTGAGGAGAATATTTCCTTTATATTCACACTCTTATCTGAGCCAACCTAAAATTGGATTGTACTTGTTGCGAAAGGGGCCGTGTGACACATACCCACATATAAACTTGTGAGATATGCCAGTTATAGAATAAGAATGACTGAAACTGTTGAGAAAGAAAGAAGAGCAGCGGCTGACATTCAGAAGCTGGCCCCATGCTCACAGCCAGACCATGTGACTCTCTGGATAGACATAAACAATCTCCCAGAATACCAGCCTCAGACAAGGCGGCCCTGAGACCACGATAAAATGAGACCAAGCAAGGCCACTTCCGGATTTTGGTGACGCACAGACAAAAACGGGTCACTGTGCCACCCACAAAATACCAAACACCCCCTCTCTTGGCCAAAATGAGTGACTGCTACTTCTTTACCAATTCCAGCTTCATCCCTCATTCCAGCTTCCCCTCCTGTAGACAAGATCCATTGAGATGCCCAATCATAGAATTGCCCCACTTTCTAACAACACCCATTGTAGAGTGAATCCCTGCTTCCTCAGACCCTCCCTGGAGTCACCCAACCAAAGCCCAAACCCTCCAAGTTTCCTTCTAACACCCCACTACTGAGACGCGCAGGGTTTCCCACGGGGTGTGTTCTCCCACCCTGCAACGAGTAACAAACCCACTTGTTCCACTACAGGTGTCTTTGGTGGTCTTTGGCTGAAGCGTATTGACACTGTGTTTACACATTTTCATGTATGTGTGTGTGTATATGGTTATAAACATTACATATATTTATATAAAATCAAGGTAGCAAGAAAATCCAGGCAAGTCAAGCTCCAAAATATATTTTTGTGCCTGGACTATCTGTAGAGCTAGGCTGCCAGGATCAAATGAATCAAGCAGATAATGACATATTTTGCTGTATGACAGCCCAAGCAATCAGCACACATTTCAGAAAATTTTAATAAATTAATGTCCCAGTTATTCTCACTTAAGTTACATTGATATACACTATTCTTATTTTCTACAGTGCAGTGCTTTTGAGATGTGGGTTTTTTTAAGTTATGAATTCCCTAACAAGTTAATAAATTGAGAAATGCCGAAATGTTGGCTATTTTTCATTTAAGTATGTATTTTCAAAAACAGGACACAAACTTGTATAGAGAATATGATCACAACTAAGAAGAAGAATAAAAATAAAAGATAGGTGACTGAAATTTAACTACAGTTGTCATTTAATCGTGTCTTTCTACTTTGATATATTTTCTAAAATTTCTCAGTTAATATTTTAAATTTAATAATAGAAATATTAATTTCTAATTTCATTTTACTCTGTGCTTCCTCCTACATGCATAAACAATAATAATCTGGTTCTCTTTTGGTAAATCCTGAGTTCTTTTCCTAATGATCTCATGAGTAAGAGGCTTAAGGATACACATTCATTTATAACATCAAAGCAGTACCTTTCTGCTGCTCTCTGCCTACAAGTAAAATACTCTTCAAGTAGTGATAAGATATTAACTCATTCTGTCAAACCACCTGGAAATAGGGCCTGCAACTGCTAAATATTGCCAATGTATTACAAAAGATTAACAAATTTTTCTGGTTATATGAATTCCACCCAATGTTTTGCTCAAGAGCAAAAATAAGTAATACGGATTGTGTTCAATCTTCTACAGAATAATATTCAATTTCTTGTTGACTTTTGTAATTACATTGATCATGTAACATTCCTGAAAACTAAAATTGTCTTCATTAGTTCATTAAACATTCCTAATTCTTTAAGAACTTAAATTAATATAAGGATTGTCCTTTAAAAGTGTTTATAATTTATCTATTTTTAGCGTGAACCTGAAGCACAGCTTTTAAAAAAATTCTT